CTTTTGCACCTTGAATTTTGATACGGACAGACCATGGACCAGAACCTTCTAAATTAGTTTGTTCAGAAGAGAAAAACTTGCGTGGCCCAGTCTTCTATGCCATAGTTCCGCATCATCATCAACAGCTTTCAGACAACTCAGATCACCACTTTGTAAGGACTCGAAATTAGCAACATAGATGTTCTTGTATCTTTTGGCCATAAGTACCACTTCCCCAGTTACCAGATCAGTGACTGTACATATTTTGGACAAGAATTCCACCTTATTTCCTTTATCACAGATTTGAGAGACACTCAAGAGACTATACATAAGGCCATTGAGATAGTACACATTTTCAATGGAATGAGTGAGTGACTTCCCGACTTTTCCAACTCCAAGAATGTACCCCTTTTTCCCATTCCCAAAGGATACACTCCCTCCTTGCAGGGCTTTTAGTAAACGAAAGTCCATGTGTTCCCAGTCATGTGTGTCACACCTCCTTTTTCTTACTACACCCGGGAAAGGGCGTAAAGGAGTTTTTCCAATTAAAGAACAATTGAAACGGGATTTATTATTAAGATTTCAGAGTCGCCACTTGGGAGATTAATGGTGTCCCAAGTCACCGGTTGAATCCCGAACCGAGGAAATTATGACTCTGTTAACAGTCTGCGAACCAAAAATCTGAGTGAGGAATTCTGTTAACCTGGGAGAAGGTGTTAGGCATTCCCGGGTTCCGTGGTTCTAGCACGGTCGCTCAACTGTCATATTTGGCTTATTTATCTGATTTTACAACATGTTTTAGTCTATGTGCTTTTTAACCGCTTTTATTATTCTTATTTTAAAGAGAATTGCAACGTCGTGAAAATGTCTCGAACCGCGTCACATAAATGCACCCGCGATTTTTGACACATTTTGACTTCGTTGAGATTTGGATTTGGGTCACATAAATGCGTACCCGAGTTTAGGAAGGTAATGTTATTAAAAGACGCGCTTAAAGAGGCTAACACGCTATTATCATTGCGGGAGGCCGTGAAATTCGCTAAACGGAACGCCCAGATTCTAAGTTTTTTTATATAAGCATTTAATGAGGGCCCCGCAATTTATATGTTTTGTTCGGCGAGGCTCGTCTCACTTTTTATTTAAAGGCCAGTCCTAAGGTAACTACGGTTTTCTACTTAATATTGTCTCTAAAAGGGCCCTAATTAATTGATGTTGTAAAATTTGGGCCTCAAGTTCAAGTCCGGATTCAAACAATAGGGAAAACCTTTTAATTTGAACCCGCTACTTAACTCGAAAGCCCAATTTTATACTGGACTTCAGGTGTTTAAACGTCAGGTAATGAATTAAAAGTCTTAACTACAATCAAATGTAGCCAGACTTTGGGCCAAGCGTTTGGGCCCAACATTAGTAAATCAGAGTCCGACTATTGACTGGGTACAATCCAGCCTTGGATGCAATATGGAGATATAAATGGGCTTCGAATGAAATTAAGCCCAATGATGTACTCACAGCACAAATTACAATGGCAAACATGCACTCAATGCGGAACAGAGAGTTGATTAACAGTTTCAAATTATCATTTACTTTTACACTGATTACCTGAATCAATTCATTTTATTTGGCATGTATTTTTGACCCCAAAAAAACAACTGCTATGGACTAATTATCTGAAATAAAAAATAACTGCTGAACTTGCCTAATAAAGGAAACGTGCATCTGAGCATCTGTAGCATATTGGATAACACTCGAAATTCATATTAAAGTTCATTGATAACAGATAACACACGAGACCTTTGTTTTGAGTTTATCAAGCTATGAATTCATTAATTGAACCCAAGCTCTTCAACAGCATTCATGCTTACGACTATCCTGTTGTGGAGTATAAATACTAGTAAACAAACTCAAAGTTATTTATTAATTGCATGAGATCAAACTACTCGAGCATTAGACTACTGAAATAGAATGAAACAGATAAGGCAATTCATGAATTCAACAATCCATAATTAGGCAGTACAGTCCACACAATCCAGTTTAGTATACAAATGCAGATTCAAAAAAATCCTGAAACTAGTTGCAATACAAATGCAACTTCAGCAGAAATGAAAAATAGTGCACTTCATTTCATGTCCAACTTGGAGATTACACGACATGCACCTGGAATTAAGTCACAAGGAGAAGAAGAATAAGAATCAGCAGCAGCAAATGACAAAGCAGCAATTCAGATCTAAGCTCACAACCCAGCAACCAATATCAAAATCAGTCGGAATCGAAATGTGAAAACACAGCACTAATGTCAACCAAATAGACTCGGATAAATCCCAAGTCGACCAAAATTAAACCCAGGAAGAACTTCTGAAAATTCCAGCAACTAGAAATTGAGCTAAGAGATGAAAATCAACAATTAACACTCGAAATCAATCCATAAATGCAATATAACAGTATTTTTTGGTTTTTCTATAGTATTTTCTGTTTGTTTTTGGATTTTTGGGGCAGGATCTCAGATCTAAGAGAGGATTTTGAACTTCTAAGGATTTGAAGTTCAAATTTTAGGCTCAGATTTGCAGAGAGGGTTTTGGGGGGAATTTTGGGGTTTCAAACTTGTTCCTTAAGGCATTGAGGACTGCTTGTTATAGGCATAAGGGAGGGCATCCCTCTATTTTCTATTTTCTTTTTCAGTCCCTTTTTATTTTCAAACTGGTCCTTTACTTATTAACTTGTTCCTCATGTTAGTACCCTAAGTTTACTGAAATATGCACTAAAGTCCTTCTCTAGAAGATCCTGGAAAACTCTAGTCTTAACTACCATGTTCTACCCAATCCCAAATACCCAAATTATCCCTGAACTTACACTAAAATTGTAGCTATAACCAAACAACTTCCTAAGTTCTGAATTCAACTTCGACTGAAAAATGTAATCCTAATTCACTACTATCTAATTATCTATTAAACTCGGCAATAAACAAATTAAGACTAATCAAGCCCAAACAAAGTCGATTAACAACTATTGAGACACAAGATTAAACTAATATCCAAATACTAATCTAACCAAATCAAACTCATCACTCAACTAAAACCAAGAATCAAATGAACTAAAATCTATATGGCTGAACAATTAAGCACAAATTAAATCACCAAATCAGAACAGAATCAAACAAAAATGGGAATTAACCTAAACAATAAACACTACGGGAACAAACCGACTCATCGAGATTATACCTACACATTTAATACCTAAACATTATACCTAAACATTTAGCTAACAGTAACAGACAGAATTAGATTGATATTAAACTAGGCTATCAATTAAAACTATGCAGAACTTAAAACAACATTTCAAAAACACGAATCGAATTAATAAGAACCAGAACCAAAGAAAAAAAATAAAAAGAGAAGAGAAACTCACTGATTTCAGACTTGATATGATTAAACCGTCGAAATTGATTTCCGGTTAATGTTATTTGTCTACTTCGTCAGAAATAGACATATAACATTAACCAAAAATCAGCTGACTTCAAAACCTCCCAAAACAGGTTCGAACCCATGAACCCTAGATTTGAAATTCGGCGAGTTCCGGCGGGATTTGAGGGGTTTTGGTTAGGGATTAGGGATGAGGGAGGTCAGGGGAGTGTAGGGTATGAATTTGGGGCCGTTTGGACAAGGTAAGGTTTTGGCCGGAGAGTTTAGATTCAATATTCGAGTCGTTTGACTATGATTCGAGGAAAACCAATACTAGATATGGAAAGAGGAGGACGAGGGGAGATTGGGGTGTTAATTTGGAGTGGTTTGGAGCCGGCGCCGCCACCGGAGCTGGTGAGAATTTGGTGGCGGCTGGATTAGGGTTTTGGGGATCGGTCTTAGAGAGATGATGTGAGGGGGACGATGAAGGGGGGGGTAGGGGTCTTAGGACAATTTTATATCAAGTTTTGGTTATTTCCCAGCCGTTGGATCAAAGATCCTCGACGGCTGGGATTAAACTATGACCAAAAGACATCGTTTGGTGAGGCAGGGGAGACGGACCGGGTTACCGGGGTTGGGCCTGGGTCTTTCAGGGTTATTTCGTTTGGGCTCAGCCATTTTGGCCCAAATTCGGGTCTTTTAAGAGCAGTCCACTTTCTCTCTCTTTTTTTTTTAAAAAAACAAGTTTTCTTTTATTTCTTTTACTTATTTTTGTTTTCATTTTGTACTTTTTATATTTTTCTGACTTTATAAAAATGCAAAAAAAAAAATTTAAAAATTAAAATAAAGACAATATATTTTCAAAGTTAAGCTAATTAATTCCTAAAATTATTTAAAATCTATCTCGTGACAAATTCAACAATTAAAAATGCAAAAGTGGACTATTTTTGTTATTTTCTTCATATTTTGTTCTAAAAATAACTTAACCACTAATTAATCCTAAAATATGAAATTAGATCCTAAATGCAAATGTCAAGCGTATTTTCTATGTTTTCATATGAATTAAAATGCACAAATAAAATGCAAACAATTAACAGAAAATAACATAAAATTCACAACTTGTAAAATAATGAAAGAAGATAATTTTGTTTGAATTTTTGGGAATAATTCACTTAGGGCAAAAATCACGTGCTCACAATGTGCTTTGAAGACCCACTATCCATGAACCATTGTTGACCGCTTCCTTTCACTGTTCCCTGCACAAGGAGATTAGGAGTTAGTTTTAGGAACCCAAGCAAGTTTGGGTCCCTTGTAGTAGGCAAGAGGATAAATAAGAGCTCTCTGAGTCCATGCAGGTAATGCTCATTTTTTGGGAGTAGAACCTGGTCCCCTAGTTGTAGTCACTTTTTTAGCAAATACTTTGTTTTTCTAAACAGCTTGATCCCTGGCCTGGCAATTTTCTTTGAAGTGCCCATTGTTCCCACATTGGGTACAAAGCCATTTATCAGAGACACTGACGTACTTGCTGTGTGGGTTGTAAGGAGTTTTCTCCCTTTGGAACCCTATTCCCTGCCTGTTGCCATCATTATTAGTGTGCATGGCAGCGATAGCTTCTGAGGACCAGGTTCACTTTAGGGACTTTTCAAGATCATTCTTTACTCTTTCTAGATCAGTTTGAAGGAGCTTGGTTTTCTCAATTTCAACACACATCCTAGTTCTCATAGCTTTCACTTCATTTTCAAGCCTAATGTGTTCCTCACTAGCTATCTCCTTTCCCTTTCCAGAATTTTCAGGATTTGACTTAGTCCCTGGTCTCACTATTGTTACCCTTAGGTCAGCAATTACTGCCAAAAGATCATTTTTTTCTTTTCTGAAGATTTCAATGGTTTCCTTATGGTCAATAACTACAGCCACTAAGTCGTTTCTAGTTTGTTCAGATTCTCCTAGTTCTAAGGTCAAAGAATCCCTATCCGCCACAAGACTATGATAGGCAACAATTAATATATTAGCTAAAGATATGAGTTTTTTTGGAGAATAGGATTTCAGATTTCTCTGAACATCCCTGAAATTTACATCTTTGTTGCCATCGTCTTCATCATCATCTGATTGGGCCATCAAAGCAAACGTTGAGTCATATTCAATTTTCTCGCCTTCTACTGCCATCATGGAACTATCACCCACATCATATTCATCTTCAGACTCACTGGAGGATTCCCCCCATGCAGCAAGAGCCTGTTTCACCATATGGTCACCGGATCTTTTTCTTTTGAAGTCCTTGAAAGGAACCGGGTTCCTCTTAGCTGCTTTCTCATTATAGTTCTCGGATAATTCTTGCTTCAAGAGAGGACAGTCTTTCATGAAGTGTCCAGGCTTCCCACACATATGACAAAGATCATAGTTTTTTGATTTGTTAGAGCTGCCCCTTTTTAGCATTTCTCCATTTCTTTTGACCATCTTCTGAAATCTTTTGGTTAAGTAAGCCATGTCACTGTCTTCCTCACTTGAGTCATTATAGCTTTATGTATCAGATTCTTTTCCTTCTTTGGTTCTCTTCTTTCACTGTCTATCTTTTTCTTCATCTCGTAGATCTTCAAATTTCCGACCAGCTCTTCTATGGTCAGCTCCTGTAAGTCTTTTGATTCAGTAATAGCATTCACCTTGCTTTCCCACGGGCTAGGCAGAATGCTGAGGATCTTCCTCACTAGCTTGTTTCTGGAAATAGTTTCACCAAGTGAGTGTAACTCATTTATGATGGAAGTGAATCTTGTGTGCATTTCTTGAATGGATTTATCGTCCTTCATTTTGAAGAGTTCATACTCGGTAGTGAGCATATCGATCTTAGACTGTTTTACTTGTGTGGTTCCCTCATGAGCTGTTTGCAAAGCTTCCCATATCTCCTTGGCAGTGTCGCAGGTGGAGATTCTATTATATTCTTCAGGTACTATTCTGCATACTAGAATCTTCTTGGCATGAAAATTCTTCTCCACAGCTTTCTTGTCTGCGTCAGTGTATTCTTTACTGGTTTTTGCCATCGAATATGGAAGTTCTTCCAGTACCTTTGTTGTAACATAAGGACCATCGCATATGATATCCCATAACTTAGAATCCTCAGTCATGATAAAATCATGCATTCTTGTTTTCCACCACCCATAGTATTGTCCATTGAACCTGGGTGGTCGGTATGTAGATTGACCTTCTTCAAATTTTGGTGGAGCAGCCATAAAGATCCTTCCTAGGTGTTAGCCTGATAGGAGGAACCTGCTCTGATACCAATTGTTAGTTTGTATGAGTCCACCAAACTGTAGAGTACCTGGTTCTCTATGTTATTCTGCTGAGAATGTTAATAAAACTGTAAGTAAATAACACACAGAATTTTTACGTGGAAAAATCCCACACAAGGGGACAAAAACCACGACCTACACCTGTAGGCTTTCAACTTCACTAACTTGTAAAATACCTATTACAAGCCAGTTCATAATGACTCCATTACAAAGAATTTAACTCAACTAACTTGTGGTACTGTTACCACAAGCCACTTTGTGACTCCCTAGTTACAAAGACTTTCACTAACTTCTGATGCTCTCACCACAAGTCACTTTGTCACTCTACAGTTATAAAGGCTTTTGCTTATGACTAAACCTAGTCACAACATAAACTCAAAAGAGTTAACGGATTTTACAAGAGGACTCCTAATCAACGCTTCTAGCCAAGAAAATTAGGAGATACAATAAGTACAATAACAAAGTTACAACTCAACTAAGGACAACAAAATACTAACTTTAGGAATTGGTCCGTAGTGGCGTTCAACTTTGTTCTAAAAGCTCGTGAGAATTGATTTTTCTGTATTGCAAAAGGCTTGAATGAGAAACTGAAACATTCAAGTGATGTTTTAATATAAACTCATTTTTGGTACACCTTGATCACATCACTTGAAATGATGTGAGCACTTTAGTTGGTCAAGGAATGAGTGGGCGCTGTGCAGTGCGGCAGAAAGAGTACAGGCGGTCACTTCGTTTCCAGCTGTGTCCAATTGACTTTGTATTGCTATGAGGGAACCACAAGGGTATCAGGTCCTAGTTTTGGTTTCCTAGCTCCTGAAGCTGTAGCAGTTCACACTTAGCTGGAATCCGTTAAATACAGTGTAGTCTAAGTGAGTCAGGTTCCTATCTGGTCCTTAACATTAAGTTTGTTAGATCATCAAAACATAAGGCAAAGACATTTGAGAACCTATCATTCCGGAATTCCATTCCGACGCCGATATCAAAAATCTCACTACCGAACCAGAAACTTCAATAATTCAATTTTCGGTATTTCAAGTCTCATTAAGCTACGGATCTCCAAAACACAATCCGAACACGCCCCTAAGCCCAAAATCATCCAAAGGAGCTAACGGAACCAACGGAATTCCATTCCGAGGCCGTATTCACACTGCTCCGACTACGGTCCAAATTCTAAAGTTAAACTCTCATTTAGGGACTAAGTGTCCCAAAACACTCCGAAATTCAAATTAAATCCTCCCAGCGACTCACAATAGTAGAAACAAACACGGGGAACGCAGTTATTAGGGGATCGGGGCGTTAATTCTTAAAATGACCGGCCGGGTTGTTACATCCTCCCCCTCTTAAAACATTCGTTCGTCCTCGAACGAGCATAAAGGCATATCTGAAGTAGTGAAAAGAGTAGGGTAACGGCTGCGCATATCCTGCTCGGTCTCCCAAGCGGCCTCCTCGACCGGCTGACTTCGCCACTGAACCTTCACTGATGCAATGTTCTTTGACCTCAGCTTTCGAACCTGCCTATCCAATATCGCAACTGGCTCCTCAACATAAGATAGATCCTTGTCCAACTGGACTGAACTGAAATCCAACACGTGCGGCGGATCACCGTGATACCTCTGGAGCATCGAAACATGAAATACCGGATGAACTCCTGCCAAGCTAGGAGGTAGGGCAAGCTCATAAGCAACCTCCCCAATACGTCTCAATATCTCAAAAGGGCCAATAGACCTCGGACTCAATTTCCCTTTCTTCCCAAATCTCACAACACCCTTCATAGGCGAAACCCGAAGCAGAACCCGCTCTCCAACCATATAGGAAACATCACGAACCTTCCGGTCCGCGTAATTCGTCTGTCTGGACTGGGCTATACGGAGTCTATCCTGAATCACCTTAACCTTCTCCAAAGCATCCTAAACCAAGTCTGTGCCCAATAATCTAGCCTCACCCGGCTCAAACCAACCCACCGGGGATCTACACCGCCTACCATACAAGGCCTCATACGGTGCCATCTGAATGCTGGACTGATAGCTGTTGTTGTAAGAAAACTCCGCCAGTGGCAAGAACTGATCCCAAGACCCTCCAAACTCAATCACACACACACGGAGCATATCCTCAAGAATTTGAATAGTGCGCTCGGACTGTCCGTCCGTCTAAGGGTGAAATGATGTACTCAACTCCACCCGAGTACCTAACTCATGTTGTACGGCCCTCCAGAATCATGATGTGAACTGAGTACCTCTATCTGAAATAATAGAAACTGGAATACCATGCAGATGGATAATCTCCCGGATATAAATCTCCACCAACCGCTCTGAAGAATTGGTGGTACACACAGGAATGAAATGTGCAGACTTGGTCAGCCGCAGGAATGAAATGTGCAGACTTGGTCAGCCGATCCACAATAACCCAAATGGCATCAAACTTCCTCAAAGTTCGTGGGAGCCCAATTACGAAGTCCATGGTGATCCGCTCTCACTTCCACTCCGGAATCTCTATCTGCTGAAGCAATCTACCCGGTCTCTGGTGCTCATACTTCACCTGCTGACAATTAAGGCACCGAGCTACAAACCCAACTATATCTTTCTTGATCCGCCTCCACCAATAATGTTGTCTCAAATCCTGGTACATCTTCGCGGCACCCGGATGGATGGAGTACCGCGAACTGTAGGCCTCCTCTAGAATCAACTCTTGAAGCCCATCAACATTAGGTACACAAACTCGACCCTGCATCCTCAATACCCCGTCATCACCAATGGTCACATCTCTGGCATCGCCATGCAAAACCTTGTCCTTGAGGACAAGCAAATGAGGGTCATCAAACTGATGCTCCCGGATACGATCAAACAAGGAAGATCGATAGACCACGCAAGCTACAACCCGACTGGGCTCCGAAACATCTAATCTCACAAACTGGCTGGCTAAGGCCTGAACATCCATCGCCATGGGCCTCTCTGCTACTGGTAAATAAGCTAAACTCCCCAAACTCTCTGCCCGGCGGCTCAAAGCATCGGCCACCACATTGGCCTTGCCCGGGTGATACAAAATAGTGATATCATAGTCCTTCAGCAGCTCTAACCACCTCCTCTGACGTAAATTAAGATCCTTCTGCTTGAACAGATGCTGCAAACTCCGGTGATCAGTATAAATCTCACAAGGCACACCGTACAAATATTGACGCCAGATCTTCAAGGCGTGAACTATAGCAGCTAACTCGAGATCATGGACAGGATAATTCTTCTCATGTACCTTCAACTATCTGGACACGTAGGCAATCACCCTACTGTCTAGCATCAATATCGCTGCAAGGCCAACCCTCGAGGCATCACAATATACACTATAAGACCCCGAACCGGTGGGCAATATCAGAACTAGAGCTGTAGTTAAAGCTGTCTTGAGCTTCTGAAAGCTCTCCTCCCACTCTTCCGTCCACTGGAACGGAGCACCCTTCTAGGTCAGTCTGGTCATAGGTGCTGCAATGGATGAAAATCCCTCAACAAATCGACGGTAATAACCCGCCAAGCCAAGAAAACTACGGATCTCTATAGCTGAGGATGGTCTGGGCCAACTGTGCACTACTTCCACTTTCTTCGGATCCACCTTTATACCCTCACTCGAAACCACGTGACCCAAGAATGCTACGAAATCCAACCAAAACACACATTTCAAGAACTTAGCATAGAGTTTCTTCTCTCTCAATGTCTGGAGCACTGTCCTCAGGTGCTGCTCATGATCTTCCCGACTCCGGGAATATACCAGAATGTCGTCAATAAAGACAATGACGAATGAATCAAGATATGTCTCTAATACACTGTGCATCAAGTGCATGAAGGCTGCTGGGGCATTGGTCAGCCCAAATGACATAACAAGGAACTCGTAATGACCATACCGAGTCCTAACGGCGGTCTTCGTTATATCTGGCTCCCGTATCTTAACCTGATGATAGCTTGAACGCAAGTCAATCTTAGAAAACACACATGCACCCTGTAACTGATCAAACAGGTCATCAATACGAGGCAAAGGATAACGGTTCTTCATTGTAACCTTGTTCAACTGGCGATAATCAATACACATATGCATAGAACCATCCTTTTTCTTCACAAACAAGATAGGAGCACCCCAAGGTGATACACTGGGCTGAATGAAACCCTTATCAAGCAATTCCTGTAACTGCTCCTTCAGCTCCTTCAACTCAGGAGGAGCCATACGGTACGGAGGAACAGAAATGGGCCGAGTGCCCGGCAACAGATCAATGCCAAAATCAATATCTCAATCAGGCGACATGCCCAGAAGATCAGCTGGAAACACATCAGAGAAATCCCGTACTACTGGGACTGAATCAACTGTAGGGGTATCAATACTGACATCTCTCACATAAGCTAGATATGCGTTACACCCCTTCTCAACCATACGCTGAGCCTAAAGGAATGAAATAACTCTACTGGAAGTATGATCTAAGGTACCCCTCCACTCTATTCGCGGTAAACCTGGCATAGCCAGCATCACGGTTTTCGCGTGACAATCAAGAATAGTATAATGGGGCGACAACCAGTCCATGCCCAGAATAACATCAAAATCTACCATGTTGAGCAATAACAAATCGGCTCAGGTCTCAAACCACTAAGAGCAACGAAACACCACCGACAAATGCGGTCCACAACAAGAGAATCTCCCATAGGAGTACAAGCATAAGCAAGAGAACTCAAGGAATCCTGAGATACGCCCAAATACGGGGCAAAATAAGAGGACACATAAGAATAAGTGGGGCCTGGATCGAATAGAACCGATGCATCTCTATGACAGACCATGATAATACCTGTGATGACAGAATCGGAGGCGAT